AATAAATAATAAATCGTAACTTCTCTCTCCTGAAACCCTTTTCTTTGAATTGGGGCAAGCCCTTTGCACCATTCTGCATTCTTTTTTTCTTTTTCTTTTTTAAAGTGGAAACTTTGTAATTCCGGCAGTCCAAAATCTTGCAGTGCTGATAAAAAGGGTAGTTTTTTAAAAGCGATTTTTAAAAAACAAACAATGAATTAGTTTTCTGTTGTCTTTATATATAATAATAATATTGTGATTATATTCTTATAATAAATAGTAATTATTATACTATCAGTCTTACAATTCTGAAATTTGTCAGCAATCTAATGCGTGCACTTAGATAACCATTCTAAAAATTAAAGCAGAATTACATACTTATACATTTTTATAAGACTTTCTGGGAAACTGTCACCAATATTTCCAATTATTTGTAATATCATTTATTTATTTATTTATTTATTTATATACTGGGTGTTTTTTTACCCTTAGGAGGACTCAAAGTGGTTCACAACACAATCCTTGGCAAAATTCAATGCCTTACATGTATAAAATACCACATATCAAATTAACATCAACTAGCAATAGATTAAAACTATAAAACTATAAACAACAGTTACAAACATCAGGAAAATAAAATGATTTAACACACTATAGCAAAATTTGGAAATCCAAGGTTTTGAGGAAAGATAAAATGCAACAACATCTAAGAGGTGATATTGTATTTACTTTAATCTAATGCTAATCTTCTTTGGCTAAATGACCTTGCCAAAATTGGGGTGCGCATTAGATTCACGTCATACAGTAATCTTAGTGCTGAGCCAGAGCCAAAGGGGAAGCTGCTTCAGGAGCCGCACCTGAAGCTCTTATTTGAGGGACATCATCTCTCATTTAATGGCCATGGCTCAATGCTGTGCAATCCTGGGATTTGTAGTTTGGTGAGGCACCATCATTCTTTAGCAGAGAAGGCTCAAGTCCTTGAAAAACTACTACCCCCATAATTTCATAGCATTGAACCAAGGCAGTTAAAATGCATTCATTCTACAGCATAGATGCACCCCAAGGTTTTCGTTTTCATTGCTGGAAGCTTTGGTGTCCTAATACTTTTGTTTTTAAAGAAGAAATCCTCAGCAGACAACAACTGCAATGCACACCTTTTTGGCCAAATGACAAAGAGTGCACTTTTTGCCCCTGTGCATTACATTCATCAGCAAATACCTTTTTGTTGGTTTCAGGGTTTTGGAAAATGAGGTGCATATTTAACAACTTCAGACTCAATTCCAAAATATGGAGGAATTGAAAACTCTTTAGAGATAACATGATAATTTAAATTATGATTCATACTCTGATGAGTGTTGTTTTCTTTTTTTCCATCTGTGGCATATCCTTTTCTCTGTTCAGCCTTTTGGTAATGTTTTTTATAATTCTGAGATTCAAGCATTTTAATGAGACATACTATAGCAAAGGGACCCCTATTGCTGAATAACTTCTAATGCAAGTATAGCCAAACGTTTCATGTGTAACTAAATATTATGTTAAAATGTGGATGTATTTTTTAAATATAAATTAATTTAGAGTTGTGCTTAGTTTGCATATATGACCTGCAGAACCGAATTAGTTATTGCTGCCTAAATTAATCGTAGAATAGAAAAGAGCCACCAGTCACAGTAGAAGAGAATGTGGAGAAGAAAGTGGTACTCCAAGGAACTCAGGCTGAGGGCCCTTCAACACAGGAGAAAGGCCTGTATTTAATTGCATCTACAAGCTAGTGTAGGGCTTCTTCTATTAGTAGTTGTGCATTTTTCAGAATTAGTGCAAGGATGGTAGTCAAAACAGTCTTCGTTGTGCATATGGGAATACCAAGTTGTATAATTCATTGCATGGCTAGTCAAAAACCTATTCACAACTGTTTAGTGTTAAACAAAATTTAGGCAAAATATAGTTGTATTATTCTATTTCTGTCATTGCTTCTATTTTAATTATTATTAAAATAATTTTGTTGCATCAAAATTATTTTAGCATTGGAGGTAAATTTGAACACCCTCCGCCATCACTTTGATACATTTTGTACTTTAGCGCCGAACTACACCTGGTGGCGCAGCGGGTTAAACCATGGTTCTCATCTGGGGAGCGGGTTGAACTCCCGCTATTAGGGCCAACTTCAGCCAACCTAGCAGTTCAGAAATATGCAAAAAAATGGAAGCAAAGTGATCTCGCAACGAAAGAAGAATGGCTAAATAAAATCCAAGAAATTAAGGGCGCGGATAAATTAACGTTCGCCCTTAAAGAATCTTATGGTATCTTATGGTAGACCAGTTATAAAGACAAACTGGAAATTGGTGGACGATTTTCTCACCGAAGAAACAAACTGAAAAAAATAACAAAAAGAAAAGGAATAGTGAGATATAGGAATGCAATATAAAGAGATAGGAATTAGAAGAAAAGAAACATCAAGACGACAACGGAAGTGGAATGGAAGATATTCTACAGACATAAGGAAACAGAAGAACAGAAGATATTTGGAGAAGAAGATTGGAAGCCGACAGAATACCCCCCCCCACCCCATTCACACACCCCTGCACACTCCCCTCTCCCCACTTCCCCCTCCCTCCCTCCCCCTACCCTACCCTTTCCCCCTTTGAACGGCTATGTATAGGTTGGCCATCACCACCCTACCCCTTGATTTTATGTACAAGTAAAGAGAAAATGTATTTAATAATTTTTTTAAAAAAAAAAGAAATATGCAAATGTAAGTAGATCAATAGGTACTTCCTTGGCAGGAAGGTAATGGCACTTCATGCAGTCATGCTCGCCACATGACCTTGGAGGTGTCTATGGACAACACCAGCTCTTCGGCTTAGAAATGGAGATGAGCACCCCACCCCCCAGTCGGACACGACTAGACTTAAGGTCAGGGGAAACCTTTACACCTGCCATAATTTTTTAGCTGGAAGGAGAAGATCTAGAACCTTTCAGAATGTTAGAGTAATTCGGATTGGTAAGCGTAATTTGGAAAAATGTTTATTGGGCCAGAACTAACTCAAGGC